TTTTTTTTTTTTTGGTACCAGGGATAGAACTTGGGTCCTTGCACTTGTGAGGCAGGCAGCAGAACCACTGAGCTAAATCCCTGACCCGTTCAAGGTTTTTAACATGAAAATATTGAAAAACAAAACTTGTCTCAACTGGGGATGAAAGTGGGGCACATCTGACATGACTGGACCTTACACAGAAGCTGAAGCCAGGGCAGTGTATTTCATATAAAAAGGGAAATGCATGGGCTAAAGAGTGGCAATGCCTTCCTTGTTGCTGGCTTTGGCAGGAAGTGCAGCTTTTTTGAAGCATGGCACCTGAGTTTTGCTCATAGCACTCTTAGGGTCTTTGTAGACCTTGATGTGGTACTGGGAAACGTTTCCTGTTCACCAGCATGAGTGGCTCTGTGAGCTCCAGCATGGACTTGTATTTCTTTAACATCTCGCATGAATGTTAGGTGTACCACGAGCTGTATACCTTTTCTCAGAATATCCTTCTGCCACTGGGTAGCATAAAATGGCACTGGGAAGGCAGGCAGACCAAGGAAGTGGGTTTACTTGCCAGCAAGCACAGTGAGCTCAGAGTGGGCTCAGTCTGAGCCCTGTTTCTAAGTTTCTTCTCATTTTTATCTTGTTCTTTCAGCAGGGCAGGGAAGCACGCAGAATTTTACAGAGCAGAATTTAGCAATGGGTAAGGAGGTGGAGACAAATGTTGCTTTTGCAGTTGAACTTTAGGATATAGGGAGGTGCAGGCAGCTGTTGATTCAGCAGTTCAGCTTTCAGGCTCAGTGATATTTGTGGGTCTAGCAGGAGACTGTCAGCCTTGAGACTTCAGTATCTGTCAAGCTTTGAGACTTGGTCTCTGCTTTGTCTTTTCTTTTTTTTTTTTTCCATTTCAGTAGCACATGAGGAAGTTGGCCCCTGTGGAGAGGGTGGGCGAAGGTGTGCACCAATGCAAGAACCACCTCGGAGATCCTGGGTGTCTGGGAACTAATAATCCACCATATCCAAAGAGATATGGGTGGGCAGTGCTGCTGCTCCCAACCTACCCTCATGAATCTTGTTCACTAGCTCTTCAACTTGAAGACTGTGAAAGCATCTGACTTCAAACCCTTGCTCTGAAAACTGACAAGCCAGATTGTCCTTGGCAAAATGGCAATTTTCAATATTGTTCTACTTTGTGGTTAGTAGGGAGGTATGGGTCCTTGGTATACTCTCCACATGAAGGTACAAGAAGTAATTCACTGGATGGAGAGGAAAGTGGACTTAAAGTGTTTGGCAAGAAGCCTCAATGCTGGTGCAAGACAAAGTTGTGAAAGCAGGATGCTTCTGTGGTTTTACAGTGTTAGTGGTTCATGGGTAGTAAGAACTTTTCAGTACAGTCAATGACATACTTATCAAAATCATGGTGGAGTTGAAGGAAGAGGGAAACGTCTTGTGCAGGAACTTGAAGGGGGACCTGTGGGGGTGATAGAGAGGATCAAACCACAATCCAAGTGTGACGCTCTGAAGGAAAGAAAAGAGATGTTAAGTGCTCTGTGTGCAAGGCAATGCCCAGTATTCGGCTAGGCCAATGGCAAGTAGCAGCCCAAATGACCCATCCATCTCATTTGTGTGAAATGGGATTGGCTTAGCATTTAGCAGCACTCGGGCCTCAGTTGGAGAACTCGTTCTGGAAGTGTGACATTGAGTGGCCAGTTCCAGTTGGTCTCCATGCTGCATAGATCCAATTGGTGTGCACTCAGCAGCAGAGCAGCAACTCTTTGACCCATAGATCACTTCTGAGAGGAACTCAAAATATGATGTTAGTGGAATAAAGTGGCATTGTCCTTGGAGTTGACCTTGAGTCCTCATTGACACCCATCATCTGATGCCTGCCTTATCTAGACTAAGTACTGTCTAACTTATCTTGGTTGAGGGTTGGTGTGTACCTTGTAGGACCCAACTTTCATCCTAAGGGATTCTGAGTCCTCTGAACATTTCTGAGGTCTCAGAATATGCCCAAGTTAAAAACGTGGTGGTAAAATCCAAAGAGAAGACAAATAGTGTTCCTCAAGTTTCCATAAACTCCAAGAAAAAAACTTAGCTCAATTTTCTTTCTGATCAGTCTGTTATCCCTCTATTAATCTAATCATGAAGTGACCAGAGTCCCATCTGGAGTGGCACATGGGATCCATTCTTGATTTTACCACTTGGGTTTGGCACCCATGTAGGCTTCCAATTGAGGAAACATGTAAATGCCTTTGAAATGGACTAATCCATTGTGAAATGGGGATCTCAAACTTTCAGCATATCGACAAAGGAGTTCTGTGTTGTTGAAGGCTGGCTTGGCATTCTGTGAGTTTATCTACTTGTGCATGGTGTTTGACATGATGAACAGACTTTCTGGTCAGGGTCCAACTGTACTTTCTCTAGTAATTTGTGCTGTTAGATTCTTTTCCATGAGGAGTTCTGTGTTGGGGAAAACCATAGCTGAAGACTCCAGAGTATCATGGTGGGACTTTGGATGCAGGCAAGACACCTCTACATACCAGTACCAAGCTTAGGTACCTATACTTGTGAGCTTGTACCTCAGGTTTCAAAGTAGAAAGAGTTTGGCATAGTCAACTACAAGGAGCAATTTGGTCTCCATGATAAATGATGTCATTTGAGATTCAGTGTTTCTTATCCAGCTGGGTATTTAGTGGCAGCAGTAGGTGAAAATTCCTTTAAAATGTGGCATTCTATATTCTGTGGTGCATAGTATCTTCTCTCCTGACACACACACACACACACACACACACACACACACACACACACACAGAGAGAGAGAGAGAGAGAGAGAGAGAGAGAGAGAGAGTCAGGCAGTAACCATCTATGCCTGTTGCTGGGGGGTTGAGATCTGGAAATGATTTCTCTTTTCTTTCTTTGGCTTTCTGACACAGTGTCTCTCTCTATATCCGCACCATCTGAGCCTTCCTGGGGATCCTCCTGCGTCAGCCTCCCCAGTGCTGAGGTGACAGGAATGCACCACCACACCTGGCTTGGGAACTAGTTTCTTGTCTCTCGGGATAGGTAGGGTGAGTAGTGAGTACCGGCCATTCTTCTTAATCTGTATGCAGAGGTAGATTATTTGCTGTGAACTCTACATAGCTATGTTAAAGGGTCACACAGAGGCCATGCGAGGAGGGCGATACACTAAGAAGAAGCAATTTATTATATGTCACATTACCTTCAAATACATTCTACTCAGACACACAGACACACACATACGCCCATATGGGCATCTCCTCCGGTGCTGGGCGGGCCCCGGGGAAGAAATACAGGGCTTCATCTCAGAAGCTCCCGCTCTGTCACCAAGCAGCACCCCCAGCCTGAATTCATTTTCTTTGTCAGTCTTGCGGATGGAACCCAGGGCCTCTGCACTGAGGAATTTGGAGACAGGGTGTCGCCAAGCCACTGATATGGCCAGGCTGGGCTTCTACTTGGGATCCTCCTGCCTCAGCCTCCTGGAGTGCTGGTGTGACAGGCAGGTGCCAGCAGGCCAGGTTGGCAGTCACTTCTGAGCAGCGTCTCTGTTTCCCGATTGGGAGTGTGTTGAAGGAGCCCCCCATGTGCACCCCAGCTCGGGCTCCAGACTTAGCTGTCTCTCTGAATTTTCTAGTTTTCCTTTAGTTCTCCGAAATCCTTGGTGTTACATGAAGTAGGTGGCAGCGAGTTAAGCTGTCATCCCTGAATGTGTGCAGTCAACTGGCCTTTCACAAAGATGTGGTGAATTCTGTTGTTCCTGGGCACCGTGAAGACAGAACTTCCCTGCTTGCCAAACAATTGTGAAATGAGGGCAATGTTTGCCGCTTTACGTTCGTGGCTCTGCGGCCCCCTTCCCTGGCAGGGCTTGGGAAACAAAACCAGGGCCTTTTTCGTGCCCCCTCTGTGAGACGAGGTTTTGGCTAAGTCGCACCGGCTGGGCGCAAGTGGAGATCCTACTGCCCCTGTGCCTGCCCCGCCCCCGAGTACTGGGATGGCAGGCGTGTGTGACACACTGGGCTCTGGGAGCCAGGGGAAGGCAGGTGATGGATCTGGATTCTGTGGCCGTCCAGGGCCATCGCTGCTGGCCAGCAGGTGTAGGGAGCCCGGGGCTCAGCCCCGCCATGCACTCCCCACCCCCAGTCTGGCACACTTCAGGGGCGCAGGATCCTAGAGGACAGGTGCCCAGGCTCCACCGCCTCACACTCCCAGGTGCTAGCACAGCCCGCGGGGGCCCCCTTCCGACACAGGGCGGGGATGCACCCAGAGGGAGAGCTTGCGGGCTCTGGGGTAGTGGAGTTCTCTCTCCCATAGAGGGTGCCACTCAGGGCGCAGAGTAACCCTCTCCTCTTTTCCCTTCTGTACATTCTTCGGGGCTCATCTGTATGAGCCAGTGAGTCGCCCAGGCGGGAGGGAGAGGTTGCGGGCAGGAAAGAAGGAAGTCTCCACAGTGGTGCGATAAACGAAAGAGACGCCTGCCAACCCAGATGGAAAGGCAAAGCTAAAGCTCGGCGGCCCTCGCAGGAGGCGGGAGTCTGGAGGCCGCAGGCCGGAAGCCGGAAGCAGGAAGCGTGGAGCAGAAGCAGGAAGCAGGAAGCAGAAGGCAGGCCAGCACAGTGCAGCCATGCCGATCCCCTTGGAGGAGCTTGCCAAGCTGGAGTATCTCTCCTTGGTCTTCAAGGTCTCCACGGAGCTGCACAACCACTTGGGGATCAACCACAAGGATCTAGCTGAATGTTTGATCAGTCTGGCTGAGAAAAATACCACCTTGAATGCTTTTAAGGCTGCTCTGGTTATGAGTGGGGCGGAATTCACCGAATCTCTAGTCCGCAACCTGCTGTGTCTCATGCAGAACGTGCAGGCCAGGGCAATGCCATCCAGGAGCTGAGATCCCACGGTGAAGCCCAAGAGTGAGAAGGAGAAGCAGAAGGAGCTGTTTCCGGGAGAGTGTGGGCCTGACAATCTGGCTGCCGCCGCAGCCGCCTCCACCTCCACCTCCACCACCTCTGGGACCATGCTGGATGAAGATAATATGAATGTCGCCGTGGATGTACTGAGAGAATTGGAGGCATTGATGCCAAGCGCCACAAAGGGCCAGGGCCAGGACCAGGACCCAGCCCAGGACCTGGCTTGGGACACAGAGAAAAAGACAGAGACAGAGAACGCAGGTGCAGCCAGCAGTCCTGCTCTTGGCGGTCCGTTCCCGGACCCCGGAGAGGAAGAAAGGGAGGTCCCGACACCGTCCCGGGAGCAGGAGCCAGAGCCCCCCCAAGGACCCAAAGGACCCCTGGGACAAGCTTGAGGAGGGGAGCCTGGCCAGGTGGCGGGACAAGCGCATGGACCGCCCATCAGCTGAGGAGCCAGTGATTGGCCATATCTACACAGGAAATGTCAGCATTCTGTAGTTCAGGTGCTTTTTGCAGCTGGACCGGCTCAGGAAGTGGTGGGAAGGCCTGTTGCACATCTCGGAGCTGCGGCGCAAGGCCCGTGTGGCTAAGGTGGCGGACGCGATGACCAAAGGACAGCGGGTCATGTCCAAAGTGTTGTCCTTCACCGGCACCAGGACCAGCCTGAGCATGAAGGATGTGGATCCGGAGAGCAGAGAGGATCTGATCGCAAGTGGGTGGTGCTGGGAGAGGCAGAGGTGTCGGCGACTGCAGCAGGAGCCACGATGGATGCAGGGGTCGTAAAATCTGGTCAGGGAGACCGGAAAGGAGACCTCCATTCGGATCCTAGACAGACCCAGCCACCTGCTGCTCGTCGGCGCCCCCAAGGTGGAGGACGACTAGCTGGCGAGCAAGCGCCTCCTCACAGCCATTACGGATCTTGAGAAGTGGGAGATCAAGCAGATGACTGTGGCCAACGTCCTCTCCAAAGAAGAGTTTCCAGACTTTGATATGGAGACAGTCATCCTCCCGCAGCTGCATGGTGGGGAAGATAAGGACCTGGAGATCCAGCTGGTGGATGAAAAGCCCCCGTTCCTAAGGGCCGCACGAAGGGCATCAGCGGGGACATGAGCCCCGCCTTCAAGGTGGTGAAGAACCTGGAAGGCTCGCTGTGGTGGGCCGCCATGATGCAGAGCGTGCTGGCCAAGGAGCGGCGGGAGCTGAAGCAGGCGCAGCTGCGGGAGGCCGACGTGGACTCCATCCCCACGGGCCTCCACAAGCACTGGGTCGACCCCCTGCCTGACGCCCAGGGCAGGCAGATCGCTGCCAAGC